TGATGTATCTAATTTCAGGCCGTATATTCTGGCAAAACATCTTTCGGACTGCCAATTTAAGGCACATAAACATAATGGTAAAAAACAAGCGTTTATTAGTCGTCGAGATACGTCATCAGCAAAGGCAACATCAGTTGCATATAGCTTAATAAAAGATAAATACCCATTAATTCGTTCTTACTTTAAGGACATAAAATGATGAACCAGTTAAATATGAACTAGAAGTTGCATGGACGCAGGTTGCTAGAACTTGTTAAGGTCATATGTTAAGTCAGGGTAGTTCTTAACACGCAGTTAAAAGATCACTTGTTTGAATGCGGAACTCGGATGGACTGTTCTTAATTCTTTTAAGATACATGAACATGTACTACTTTGGGAAAGGTCACTATCCACAAATATTATTTCATCAATAATCCCCCTAGCAGGCTGATTACATCGAAATGGAAATAAACGCCGCCACTTTAGCTTAGTGAAAGAAGCATGCAAAAACTACACCCACGCGTAAGTACAAAGGAGACTGATAAAATACAGTAAATGATAAAACAAAATTTCCTACCTCCATGGTCCATATTATCACTTACTTCATTTTTAACACCCCCATCAACAAACAACAATACTACCGCTACTTTCAACACATCGATTGCAGTCGGTCCAGAGTCGGTGCCTCGCTTGCTAAACTTTCATACCCCACTTTTATTAATAAACGTTCAGACATTAGTTTATTTTCATAAGAAATGCAATAGAGAATAAAATAACTGAAAAAAACAGGTTAAACTGTGAAAGAAAATAAACTTTTGATAGCTTTTTAAAGTTTATCAACAAATGTAAGCATGATATACTGAAAACCTAGACAGAACTGATAGAAACGGCAAGAAAGCTTTACACCGAGACAACAGTACTGTCGGTCTTAGAATAAGTCAATCTGGCATTATCACACATTTTCATGCGGTCAGCTTTAACGAAGATGTTTCAACGATGTTCTGCCTTATAGCCTGATCTGACAAACAACGGCTTTGTTTGCAATCCGTAGCTTCAATCCTTATATATATTTTTTCTTTTTGTTTGATTCTCTTCATTCATCTTCATCTTGTTCAACATGTCACTATCCTTCGTTTTTCTTCTATCAATCTTGCTTTGTTTTCGTATGTGATTTCCTTAGACTGCACTATCAAACCTGTTTAATCTCTGATGATATGGACTACGGTATCTTCTTCAAAAGGAACATCGCTCTACCTTCAAAAGGTCCGTGGCCTTAAATTTTTTTCAAACTTTAAACCATTATTGCAATTACATGATATTCGTATTATTAGAAAAATGAACGTCGTTTGATGACATTAAATAACTGATCAACTGAAATTTCTAACAAATTCATTAGAATAATCTAAAACTCGAAAAAAACTTCTCACAAAGATGTATATCTATAAGGCAAATCTAAAGGCCAGACAAATTATTAAAAAACGCGCAAACCTTAGCAAGCTGCTCCTCTTTCATCAAGTTCATATTTATGGCTTGCTGGAATAATGCAACAAGTTTCTTGA